TGGGGGCAATATGCTGACTCTGTAAACCGCTTAGAGAGGGCTGAAAGCCCTATGAAGCGGTATATAAGTCTAACTGCTATTGCTATTGCTATTGTTAAAATGAGGATCCAAATTGTTGTTGGGGGTAATAGGCTGTCTCTGTAAACCACTTAAAGAGAGCTGTAAAAGCACTGTGAAGCGGTATATAAGTCTAAGTGCTATTGCTGTTACTGCAACTTCATACTGTGTTCTGTGTATTACAGTATTGTAGATAGATGCAATTGCTAATAGGGGCTGCTTTTTCATATCATAATACATAAATGGACTGCTGCCCCTGAAATTTGGAGAAGACCAGCAGATAGTTCTACTAGCCCTGCTAATGAGTACAACTTGCTAATCTTACTTCCTTTTTTTTTTTAATTGCAGTGTCGTTATACACTACAGTACACCTATCCATATGCCTACTACATGGAATCGGGTCCGAGGAAGAAATTGGTAAGACCATGTAGTTCTGCGTATTGAATGATAACTGAAATTCTTAAAGAATGGTGAGAAAAAACAAAGTTGGGACTTATACGAATCCATATCTAAAAATTGCCTAAAACCGCATGGTAGCTTCTATTTACTGAAGCTGAGCCTTTTGATTCTTTGGAGGTGATGGGAAGGGAGGCCCTTGGAAGCCATAGATAAAATATTCCAAGCTTGGAAGGGGAAGAAAGAATGCAGTTCTAATAAATTAAGGGATTTTGTTTTTGGTCTTGGGATATCTGTGTGTATGCATTAAAAAGCATTTTAATGGGCAAGTGACCTGTCATAAGTATGAGTATTGAAGAAAATGTTAAATATTTGTCACTAGCACATCTTAACTCTTACCAGTTTTCAACCAGGCTTTCAATAATTGAAAGTTCTTATGAGCTTTAATGAATATTATTATTATAAATATGGTATAGGAGAATAAAGAACAAACATGCTCAAGCCTAATCAATTACAAACAAGGATTTGTCCATCCTTAATTTCATAGTCTTTTATGTTGCTCAAGCTGTTTGCCCTCATTGAATTGGCTGCTGTGTTTCCTTAATTTGAAATGCTCCTGCTAAAGATGCAAACAGTGGTACCAATGTATTATTAATCTGTGCAGCAAATTTGGCTGAAAGATAGAAAGAGTTTTTCCTATATAAGTACTGGGATTTTTTTACATAATGTTTTGTTTGATTTTCAGTTTGAATACCAACAGGCTCAACTTGAAGCAGAGATTGAAAATCTCTCATGGAAGGTGGAAAGAGCAGATAGTTACGACAGAGGAGTGAGTAATAAACGAAGTTCAACCCCTTTTCTCAGTCGTGAGCTCATTTTTTACTCAGAAGTCTGAGAAGAAATTGGTATCAATAATAAAGGACAAGAAACTACTACTAGTTTTTTAAAAAATATTTTTATTAGAAATTTAGAGTATACAGATAAAGACTACAGACTACAAAAGATAAAAATGAAAAAATAGAACTTCCAGCATACATATACCTCACAATTTATCACCATCTCTTAAAATACAAGAAATAAATCACCTTATTCTCTATATGCATATCTATAAAATCTCACCTTTCATCCTAATCAGCAAAGGTCTGTTAAGAGTTACCAGAAATAAACATATATTTGTTATAAACGTGATGTAATAAGCTTACTTGGTTTCCTTCCTTTACATTTATATCTATTTAACTCTTCTTAAATCCCCAAATCACATCAGTCCCCAAAAGTCCCTAATAAACTAAATAAAGAAATAGTAACATAACGTTTTTGAAGTTAATCAAGTACATTTAGAATATAGGAAATAATTTCATATAAACCATTATCATTAAAACAAAACCTAAAATCTTCATAATTAAAAAAGAAATTGAATATTACTATAAATGGAACTCTTTATCCCTAGAACAAATCCTTAAAACTTCATCTTCCAGACCTAATGCAAAGAAATGGTAAAATATGGTAACCAAGGTTTTGGTGAGTGGCTCTCACTAAGACAGTATTATTCCTGTTGATGAGCCATTGCACTGATTGCTGAGGGCATCTAGATCCAATTCAAAATGTTGTTTTTGAGCATTAAAGTCCTTGGTTATAGAGTACTTTAGGCTCTGTCTTTTCCAGATAGAATTTGCCAGATTGCATATGGCCCAGTAACTTCCTTTCTAGCCTTCCATAAAACAGTGAAAACTCTTTTCTTTGAGCATCTAGGATCCAGAAGGGTGGTTGTGCAAGGCAATATTATTATCTGAGGTGTTTTACATTTTATGCGGTTGTGTAAGCAAACCCAGCTTTCCCAGTAGAGTGTTTTTTGCCAGAAATCGGCAGAAAAGCTCGCAAATTGCAAGTTTTTTAAGCAATTGTAAATGTGTGCCAGTTGCCAGATACCTGAATTGTGATCACATGACTGCAGGGATAATGCAACATTTGTTATGTGTCAGTTTAAGAGTAAGTCACTTTTTCTGAGGCCATTCTAATTTTGAACTGTTGTTAAACAAACAGTTGTTAGCCAAGGAATTCCTCTATATATACTGCTTTGACAAATATGATGCCAGCCCATGAAGTATGTCCTTGTTAGCAATATCTTTTAATGATGTTCTATGACACGGAAGTGAAGGGCTCTGTGGCCCACAGACAATGTTTTTGGTAGCAACCCCCATATTACAAAATAGCTTCCCTCTACGCAGTTAGGCTGATACACTCTTTTTTTTTTTTGCATACTGGAAATTAATGAAATTAAACTCCAGATAGCTGTTTCGGAGGCTCTTTGGATAATGAGTGCTCACTATTGTTGGATATTGTTTTTCATGTTTTTATATGTTGTGGCAGTGGTGGGTTTCAAAAATTGTTCGAACCTACTCTGTGGGTGTGGCCTCCTTTGTGGGAGTGGCTTGCCACCCATGTGACCGGATGGGAGTGGCTTGCTGCCCATGTGACCGGATATGAAGATGCCAACGACACTTGTCAGAACCACCTTAAATTACCTCACACACAGCACTGGCATGCATAAGAATATGATGTAAACTTGTGTTTTAAAAGGCATCTTTGGTTTGTGTTAAAACAACTTCAACACACGCAATGTTCTGATTGCACCACAAACGCAGTAGTCATCCTTACCTTTCACAGAGGCACTGAGTTTTATAAATATGAGCATGATAGTGTAGAATAATCATATCCAAGGACCAGTGGTGGGTTTCAAACAATTTTGGAACCTCTTCTGTAGGTGTGGCCTGCTTTTCGGTCCACTGGTGGAACCTCTTCTAACCGGTTCGGTAGATTTGACGGACCGGTTCTACCGAATAGGTGCGAACTGGTAGGAACCCACCTCTGTGTTGTGGTGAAAACTGCTGAGAGTCACCTCCTGTTTCAATAAAACAGTGTGTTTTTGTTTCCTCTTTCTACAGCTTTTAGCATTGATCAGCTTTCTCCCAGCCGGTATAAACAATAGCAATAGCACTTATACTTATATACCACTTCACAGCCGTTCTCTAAGCAGTTTACAAAGTCAGGGTTTACAGAAATAACCCTTTTCTTTTTTTTATTTTTTTATTCCCACCCAGGATTTGGAGAATCAGATGCACATTGCTGAGCAGAGAAGGCGGACTCTGCTGAAAGATTTCCATGACACATAAGACAGCAGGAGCTACCAGGGCACAAAGCTGGGAGCAAAGTAGCAAGATGGCGGTGCGAGCAACGTGGGAAGCGATCAGAGGAACTGGCCACCGCCTCTCCATAAAACAGGGCTGAGGACATCACTGCACCTTCCCCTTGCAAACCAGACATGAGCTAGCACCACCGCTTGGTCTTCTATTTTTCTTCTATTTTCTGCTTTTTTCATTTTTGGCAGGTAGAGGTTGAAATTCAGTTGGCATTTTTTCCTGGGACATGTTATTCCCCAGTTCTTGAATTGTTTTAGAGGGGAGTTTTATTTCCCCCGCCCTCTCCTGAATGGCTGTTAATAGTATTAGAACATTATAAACTTCTGTAATTTTTCGACAGTTGTACAGTGATACAACAGTGGTTGATACAAAGTGAACTCTAGAATAACACAGACCCCTTTTTAAAAATAAATTGGGACTGGCGAGTGTTTCTTTCCCCCCCCCCCCCCCCAATAAGCAGTTTGTAAACGTAATGGCTTACTTCTCTTCTCTTCCCTAAACTCACTTTGCCATGAAGGTTATGAAATAGTCCAGCTGTTGGTTTGTTTTCCCCTTTTCTGGGTACTTTCTTGCTTGCTTGTCCCGGGAGTGCATGAGATGAACAGGGCCTGTGCCAAGCAGAATCAGCAGTTGCCAAAGGACAGCATAATTGTTGAAAGGTTTTCCTCCTTCTCCTTTGACCAGGCTGGAGCAATAGGGCAAAGCTCAAAGCAGCATGGGACAGTTCTAGTCCCAGCACATGAAGTTGATCTCCTGTATGGATTTATTGCTTTGTTTTGTTTCCCTGGACTGCTACCTACTGCCAGATTTAAAATACTTGGAGAAGTTCAGGGAGCATAACCTTGCTTCTTGGCAGCATAAGAGTGAGCATTAGATTTTTTTTAGGGCAGTAGAGCCAGCCATGTTTGGGCCATAACTTGCATATCTGTGCAGCTCAGTCCTGCACAATCTGATTCTTTAGGTGGCTATAAGGTGATGCATCAGAGTTGATCTCTACTACCATAACAAAAACAGACTTTCCTACTATACCGAGGAAAAGTTAAATTCGTTATTAAAACAAAACACACACACCAGCATACGTCAGATCCTGCTAAACAGCCACCACTGTTTTCGAAACTCTTCTGCTGCTAGCTGAGAAGTAACCAGCAAAAAAAAAAAACCATTGTCCATAATTCCATAATTACTGTTAAGATTCATAGGTGGCTGCTTACTGGCAGAGGTTTGTTAACTCTTGAAACGTGTTTAATGTCAACAATTCACATCAGAGGCCAGCTTTTAAAATGTATGAAAATAGTAGCTATATAAAGTACATATTTGGTTCTGCCGATAAAGAAATGGAAGATGGGGCTGCCGTTTCCTGAAGCTGCTCCAATCGATGTCTTGAAACAAGAATTTCCTTGCATCCATGTTTCCAAGAGCAGGTTGCACTGAGATTTTTCTATGTGCATTGCTTATGACCTTTGGGATTGGGGTTAGAAAGCTTTACAAGAATCATTATTTTCTGCTTATGAAACCTGTTTTCCTAGCCTTTTGGTGAAAGTTATTTGATTAGCATTTTTAGATTTTGCCCTAGGTTTTGGAGGTCATCAACCCAAGCCGTCATCTTCCATTCAGCTGCTGCTGCTGCCACTACTACCTCAGGCACAAGGAAGAAAATGATAAGCTTGTTTCCTAGACCCTAATATGGCTTCTCTGTTCCCAGCTAACCTCAGATTAAACCAGTGGGTGGAAGAAGTAAAAAGCTTGTTGGGGACACAAAGAGAATGTGACCTTTACCCAGATTCACCCTTGCTCTTTCCCTTTCCCCATTCCACTGGACCCTGGTAGCATATGTGGTATGATGACCTCAGCAGGTTTGCTCTTTTAATCCATATCTTTGTCAAAAACAGAGATCATGCTTGTTTTTCTGGCTTAAATGTTTTAATTTCTCTGCATGAAAACCACTGCTGGGCTTTGAAATTTAGAAGCAGGCAAAACCTTTTATCAAATGCAAAGTGTTCAGTGTGTGTGTCAGACACTGCTTACTACGATATCTGTTTGTGTTAATTCTGTGCGGTGTTAGCACAAAATTATTGACCTCTTGATAGAGAAAACTGCTGGCTTCCTAACTTCCTCAGTAATGCTGTCCTGATCTTGCTTGCTTGCTTACACAAAGTTCAGGTTTTGAGGGAGGTGAGCATCTTTTTCTCTTGAAACTTTATAAAGTTCAGACTGAGCTGTTTCTGCTCATGAAATTAACTAAGGTGAAGTGTACATGTTTCTTGTTCAGAATTATCCAATGCAAAAGAGTGGTGTTACTTGCTATAACTGGCAAATACCTGCAACTGGTTGAATTTACAGTAGCACAATCACGACTTGCAGTGGAAAAATTTTCTCTGTCTCCAAAGTTTGGCATATTGTTCAGATGCTTAGATCCAATCTCACATGGTGTACTAAGATGTAGTATACAATTGTCACATCACATAATGCAACATATTGAAGACAGGCTTCTGCTTGCTCAGGAGAATATTCTCACTTTTTGGTCTCTTTGTCAGCCTTCTGTGCCCTCCAGGGTTTGAGGAGAGATGGCTGCACAGAGAGGAGGAATCTACTCAGCTGATGGGTGACAAATACAGTTAGTTGTTACCGCAAAGCTGCTCCTAAGTTTGGAACCAATACATTCATCCCAGAGTTTAGAGATACGCCCTACCTCTTTTTCTTATCTTCCCTGTTCTAGAACAGCACGATGATTGGGTGCTATCTAAAAGTTTTTTTTATCATTGGCAGAAAACAGTCCGTCCGTCCTAGAAATATATTTATTCTCTTCACTCTGTAGCATTTTTCAAATTGATCTTACAATTTAAAAAAAACCTTGTTAGAAAATTTCACTTTGTGATGAAATGGACTGTAACTAAAGGGCATCTAAGCCAAAGGGAAGGCACTACATTTCCCTCACAGCAGGTTAACATCCTATACTAGGAATTTTGGTCTTCCTCTTGTTCTATCAGGCTTAGCCTAAGCCAACCTGGCAGCTATTTTCATCCTTCACTCTGCATGTTGAGATTGTTGGCTGGGCTTACCCTTGACCACAATGTTTATTTCACCTAGTTTGGTTTACTTTTTAAAATTCCCTTTCACAACTTGCCTTCCTTCTTTCTAAAAGAGAGAGACAGAAAGCTAAGGCAAACAACCACCTACCGATAGTAAACACCGAAGCACGTAGATAGTATCCAATTCTCCTGTCCAGTAGAATTCTATACATGTCAAAAGCTTTCATACAGACAGCAGCAGAGGCTGTGCAGATAAGGAAGGGAGAGATTCTGTAACCAGTTTTATGCTTGTCCTCTTCTAGCATCCATTCTGTAGCAGTAAAATCACTTTTTTTTATTTTTAACACTTAATGCCATGCTAGTGTTACAGAAAGAACTGAAGACTTTTTGTTACTGTTCTGTCTTGATCCATTTAAACTTGTGTTTCTGTTTTTCAAAATTCAATTTCACTTTAGTAACTTTTTGTAAAAACAAAACAAAACAAAACTTCTTATGTGCTCGCTCAAGTCTGGACTGTTCCAAATTTTCAGGTAGTAGCTTCTGCTATGGAAGCTTTTTTTTTATTACGCAGAGTGCTACATTATCATGGCTGCCTTTGCTATGTCCCTCACTGAGATTTGGGGGAAAGCAATCTCAAGAAACTGCCAACACTTTTCCGGCATTAGGAGGGGAAGAGGGCAGAGGAGAAAGAGCCCTTTAAATTTTCCCCTCCTGAAATTGTTTTATTTGAAATAAATTGTGAATTTCTAATTTTAATTAAGTGTTCTGTGGTGTTTACTCTGGCTATGTTTTCATATTTATGTTATCTCCATGTTTGAAAAAAAAAGATGTCAATAGAGCAGGAAAAAGAATTGGGCAATAAAAAAATGTTTAAGTAGGTTGAATATTTTCCCTTTGAGAACAAGCTAAAACGTTTGAGATTTATTAGGTGGAAATAAGAGAATATTCCCCTTATTCTTCAGTCAAGCATTTTTATTAGTTTATCAAAACATAAAATACAGAAATAAAAGAACATGAAAATGCTGGGGAAATAGGGAAGGAAAAAGAAAAGAGGAAAAAATGTAGGATAGAGGGGAAAAGAAAAAAGTATTGATTTCTGACTCTTTTGCACAATAGATAAGGTAATAACATAGAACCTCAACTTTTTTACTTTTACATAATATATACTAGCCATTTCTATAACAACAATCCTATCTAATCTAATCCTAAAATTAAAGATTCATTTTTCCCCACCTCAAGTACCAAATCCAAAAACAGTTTCCAAGTAGAAACAACCTTAATTGTATCCTTTTCTTTATTCAAAACAGTCAATTCTCTGCTAACTCCACTTTTTGCATTCATTCATTGAGGGAAGTCCTTCCCCTATCAAAACATTAGAATTGAGGATCATCCTGTGGAACTCATTGAAAGGATATTTGGAACAGAGGAAGATTATTTATTCACATACCACACCAAACTCTGAAGAGTATGACTAGTGTAGATAGTTTTAAAGTGAGTTGGATAAATGTATAGAGGACAGGTTTATCCAGGGCTATTGGTCTTAATATTCCCTGTTACTACAGGGCGGGGCATAACCTTTTCCTAGGGGGTCACAGCAAGATCGACAGCAGTTTACAACTTCCGCGACACCTCATTTTAAAGCCCATAAAAAACTGAATTGAATGAGCTATTAAATGTTAAATTTGCTTTAAGAATGGCTGGAAAATTCGATTCGGAAGAACAAAGGATCATTGACAGAATAAAATGCATTGCCTTTCGAGAGGCTCGCGATGCTGGAGCGACGTTTATCAATCGAAAATGGATTGCAAACAAATTGAAACGTCATCCGGATTGGGTTACTGATAATTGGAACAAAACAGCCCAAGAATGTTTCACAAAATTTGGAGAAGGGCGTCCTCTGCAACTGTCCCAAGAAAGCAAAGCCATCATTGCAACTGGCAGTCGCAAACAACGAAAAGGAAACCGAAAAGTGGCCCAAGAAATCCTTCAAATTCGTGGAAAACGAGTTGATCAAAGGACAATCGGCCGATATCGAGAATGAGAAGGTTTGAAGCCATTCCACGTCATTTGCAAACCATTGAAAACTCAAACACACGTTCAAGATCGGCTTTGGTTGTGCGATTGGTTGTCTGAATGGACCGAGGAAGATTTTCTTCATTTGGCACCATCTGACGAATTCTTCGTTTATGCCATTCGAAAACCGAATTTCCAGAACAATCGAATTTGGGCTAAAGACGTCGACGACATCGCCAAACATGAACGATATCGACAAATCGTTCGCAATCCGACTTGCATCGGGATTTTCGTCATTTTCACAGCCAAGAAACTGCATTGGGTTTTGAAGGATAAAGGGGAATCCTGGGATGGCAGTTATTTCCGTGAGAAAATTTTATTGGAGAATGTCATTCCATTTCTCAGTGATCCAGACAATGTCTTGGTGGTTGGTGAGGCTGTCTTTCTTCATGACAAAGCTCCTTGCATGCGTGCAAATGCGACTCAGCAATTGTTAAAGGAAAACAATGTCGAATTTTGGGGCAATGACGTCTGGCCGGGAAATTCGCCAGATCTCAATCCGGCAGAGAACATTGGGGCCATAATTAAGGATGAAGTGGAAGCTCTGATGATTCAGGAGCAAGGTCAAAATCGATATTCGGTTGAAACTTTGAGAATGAATTTGGAAACTGTTGAAAAATCTGGAAAATCGAACGGAACTGTTTGAAGATTTGTTGTGTTCTTATCCACCTCGTTTGAATGCTGTTCGAAGGGCTAATGGTGGTCATACTGACTATTAAATCGTGTCAATAAACTCAGTTTTTGATGGGCTTTCGAATGGTGTATGAATTATTTGTGTTGTTATTACAAGTGTTGCTGTGACCCCCTAGGAAAAGGTTATGCCCCGCCCTGTACTGTGTTGCAGGCAGCTTGCCTCCAAACAAATTGCAGGACCATAACTTTGGGGGTAAAGTAAGTCTTTAGTTGGTTTGCAAGCACTTCAAAAGAGTCAGTTGGCAATCAAAAAGTTGCATAAAGATTTTTTCTGCACCGCAGCCTCAAACTGCTTATCTTCCATGTAAGCTGGAGATGAAATCATCTTAAATTGCTTTCTGGGTTCAGTCTTTTCTGCTTTGGCCATGGAACCAGACTGATGTTTTGGTCAGATATATTTATCATACTATCTGGTGTATTCCACTTTTCCTACCAAGACTTGGAAAGCAAGCATCAATTGCTTTCCTTTTATGACTAGGACTTTTGAAAGCTTACCGTTTCTGCTGATAAGACCTGTATTAGTCCCTCAACTGATTTACATAAGTGAGGTTGTGAAAGAAAAGAAGATGCTCTTTTCATATTCTCGCTTTGGCTAAAAGGGCAAAATAGCAGAACTTTATTTGGTTTAAGAAAGGCCTATCACTATTCTATTACCAAATTGGTTTAAAAAGGAGGGCAGATTTTCACCAGTCCTGTTGAATTTACTTAAAAATTGAAGGGAGGGAGAGATATTCCTGCCATAAAGCACTTTAGTCAATTGGAGCAGCGGGGAGGGGAGCTGCCCACAACCAAATGAAGCACAGGTGAACTGGATAGTATCACTTGTATTGGTACAGGTTACAAAGTAGATCAACCAGAAGATAGATGACTTCCTAGTTAGCTGTAAACCATATTAAACATTCCTGCCCTGGGAAAGACTGGCCCATACTGTCCCCGGGGAAGCTGGTTTACCACCTTTCCAATATTTTCCCCATTTTTGGTAAAAGATCATATACAAGCAGGATTTAAATGTGACATTAGGCATGAAAAACAGCTGGGTGACTTTGGGCCAGTCACTCTTTGGCAAACTCACCATAGAGAGGGTGGTTCTGGGGAAATTGAGGAGGAAGGAATACAGGTAGTCTACAACTTTCAACCATTCATTTAGCGACCATTCAAAAGTACAAAGTCATTGCAAATAGTAACTTCTGTTTTAGACACTTAAGGACTATTGCAACCTGGCCGTGTGATCAAAATTTGGATGCTTGAAAACTGGTATGACAGTTAGTGCCCCAGGGTAATGTTTTGCAACCTGACAAAGTCAATGGGGGCAACCAGATTCATTTAACAATGGTGTTACAAACAAGTGCAGTGCTAACTTAACTGTGGCAAGAGAGATAGTAAAATGGGGCAAAACTCCACTGTCTCCATAATAGAAATTTGGGGCTCAATTGTGGTTGTAAATTGAGGACTACCTGCATTAATTCCTAGAGTTACTTATACAGTAATAAAAGCAGGATAAAAATCTAATAAATGTTGCTGTCAGCAGCATGGTAGTTAGCAGGAAGAAATCGGACATGATGTAAACAGTGGTAACGTTTAAAGATTCTGCCAGCCCAGATATTGCAAGCACAGACTGAATCTTAAAATTACCATTCTGATATTTTGTGATTCAAAAGGACACTAGAGATTAGATTAAGGACCGGGTTTTTTTGTTTTTTGTTTTGCCAGAAGTTTGCTTTAGAAAAGCAAAGCTAACGCCGGAAGCACTTTGCCCTTACTAAAAATGGTTCCAGATTCAGAGCATGAAACCGACGACGCCCTGTTCAAAAATGGCTTCCTAGGCTACGGGTAATGAGGGAATGCGAGCGACTGTCGAGTTATCGGCGCTAAAATGGCTCTTTCTAGGCGGATAAAATCTCAGCCTCCAAGGCATGACAGCCTCCCTGTCCGAGGTCATCTTGCACCGCGGCTCTGGCCACATTTCATTCAATCCCGGCCGGATGGACCGGAAAGCCGCAGCCACTCTCGCTTCGTAGTGCGTGGTGGCTTCACGCCGTAGCGTGACGCTCGGGGGTGAGTTTCCCAGCCGCGCTCGCGCGTGGTTGCCGTGGTAACGCTTCGCTGAGCCTCGGGCCTAGGATGGCTGCGGCGGCAGGGGCAGCTGTGGCGGCGGCGACGGCCGAGCCGGACGACGGGCCTCTCTTGCCAGGCTCTCCCGTGGGGCGACGGGCCGTCTGCTCCCGGCCCTACTTCGTCGTGCTGATGGTGTTCGCGCATCTCTACGTGATCAACGTGCTGGGCTTGCTGCTCTTCGTGCACATCAGCTCCGACGATGGCGGGGAACGGGAGCCGAGGAAAGAGGCTCCTGGCCCCGTCCAGGATGCGCCCCCCGTCCTGCCCGTTTCTTCAGGCCACTTCGACCCTCAGGCTCTGCCTCGCCTGCAGGGCATTAAGGCAAGCGCTGGGCTTCAAGGGGGGCGACGAAGGTTGTAGGGGGGCGTCGTGGTTGCTCTTTCAGGGACGCTTTTTAGCAACAGCAATAGCTACCCTTAGACTTATATACCACTTCATAGTGCTTTTACAGCCCTCTCTAAGCAGTTTATAGAGTCAGCCTATTGCCCCCAACAATCTGGGTCCTCATTTTACCCACCTCGGAAGGAAGGAAGGGTAAGCCAACCTTGAGCCTGGTGGGATTTGAACTTCCAAATTGCAGGCACCTGGCAGTCAGCAGAAGTAGCCTGCAGTACTGCACTCTAACCACTGCGCCACCATGGCAGTTTTTGCTCAAAATAAAAGTTTTAAAAAGAGGGGAGAAGCCTCCACCACCCCACCTAAGAGGAGCGCCGCTCCCCTGGTAAGCCATCTCCACCAAAACGGCAGCCTTGAGGGCAAGGCTGAGTCCAAGCTCTCCTCCATTAGGTGTCTTTGCCACTTCCCTTTTGAAGTCTGTATCCCCGCCATCTTGGCCCATCATGTTCCCTAGTCACATAAGTGGGAGAGGCTGGCAGTCTTAAAACTATGGCATTTGAAAGGTTTGGAGAAGGCTGCCTGGGGTATTTCCTGTAGTCATCCATTTGCTATCTCCCGTTTGATCATAATGCAGGGAGTCCTCGACTTACAATGGTTTGCTTAGTGACCGTTCAAAGTTACAACAGCACTGAAAAAAGTGACTTAGGGCCATTTTTCACACTTATGACCGTTGCAGCATCCCCATGGTCACGTGACTTATTTTTAGATGCTTGACAATTGACTCACATTTATGATGATTGCAGGGTCCCAGGATCATGTTACTACCTTTTGTTACCTTCTGACAAGTAAAGTCAATGGGAAACTAGATTCACTTAACAACTCTGCTACTAATTTAACAACTGCAGTGATTCACTTAACAAATGGGGCAAGAAAAATAGTAAAATTGGGCAAAACTCACTGAACAAATTTCTCATATAGCAACATAAATTTTGGACTCAATTGTGGTCGTACGTTGAGGACTACCTATATATGTATAATAATATACAGGTAGACCTCGACTTACAATAGTTCATTTAGTGACCGTTCAAAGTTACAACAGTGCTGAAAATTGTGTCTTATGATTGTTTTTCATTCTTATTCACATGATCAAAATTCAGATGTTTGGCAACTGACTCATATCTATGACCCTTGCAGTGTCCTGGGTAACAGTAATATTTCATCAAATTGATATATTGTTCATATCCAGTGCAAAGAGTTTAATTTATGCTTATTTCTAGGCATGCCGGTGTTTGTGAATCCTTTTACAATTTAATTAAACATGCTACTGCTCAACTGTGTCCTGCCTGGAAAGCTTAATGTTTTCTGATGCATAGGTGAAAGTTTTTGACCAAATCATAACCATAACTTTTTAACGTGTGTGACATAATTCTACATATTGATTTAAATCATTATTTTTAATTCATTATTTTACTATGTTTTAAAGGTGGGTCATAAACAGAAGTTGCAACTGGTTCCTAACAAAATCCATGTTATGAAAACTCTCAGCTTGAAACCCCTTCTTTTTGGTAAGAAATAGAGGCTATTTAAAAATATATCTGTACATCCTATTCCAAGTTCTAGGAGCAATCCATTTTTCGATCTAGCATGTTTATAAACCACTTTGTCTAACCAGTGCATGGTTATCTTTTGTTTCTCTTGAGCATAGCATCAGCTGTGGTCTTGAAAGTGACTATAGCTGTCAGTCACTTTGTATAACATTGTATAACATAAGATAATCATCATTTATATATATGTTTATATTTCCCAGCCTCTTTGCACTTCAGCAACCTTCATTACTTATTCCTGATAAATAAAAAAAACATGAAAAGGAAAAAAAGATCCACTTTTGTTGAATTCTGATCCAGTTACATCAATTGTAGAACATTGTTTTATTGAATTAAAGCAGTACCTTGCAAATGGTTTTAGTAAAAGAACAGGAAGCAATATAATCTAGATGGAACTGGTGGCAAATATAACTTCTAATAGCCAATAGGAATATACTAAAAGAACCTTTGAATGCAGTTAGATTACTTTTCTCTTTCTAAAGAAGACATTTAATCTGCATAATTTATAGCCTTTGGTAGAATTCATCGATCCTGCTAATACTTTGGAAATTATTGCAAAAACTAGCAAACTGGTATTTTGTAATATTTTGTGATTAGCATCCTTCGTGTTAAAGATTCCATAAGAGAAAAAGATTAAAAGCAACATAACGTTGTATAGCCAGTTTCCAAGATTCTGCAATATAGCCCCTTCCTTCTTGCAATATGTACTCTGAATCTTTGAGAAACTTGTCTAGATTGCAAGCTGCCGTAAGGACTTGACACATTCCTTTCTTCTTTCTCTCATACACAATGCATAATAAATGCATTGTATCTATAATTTATGAATTTCAGAAAGATTTCCTTTTAGGTATAGTATGCGAGTCTGTCTGTGTAAACTACAAAATAATATTTGAGCAAAACAAAACTAATCAAAGGTAGAAGCTTGAGCAGTAGATGATGCCAAGGAAAAAGAAAGTCATTAAGTGGCTCCTACTAAGCAGTTGTCATGTATTCATTACCACACAACAATTTGTAGATTTCAGTTCTGATTTCATGACTGAGCAGTTTAGGAATCTGGAAGAGTTTCAATAGTATGCTAAATCACTCAGTGTCCCAAATTTGCAAATAACTCATGAATATTTATGTATATTTTATATTTCTTAACTTAACTGCCCATTTCTGTCAGAGAAGGGCTCTGAGCTGTGTACAATATAATCAATAGAATTATCATTAAAATTAGAATTAATTTAAGATTAAAAAGCTTTAAAATTATAAAAGCAACATTATAAAATAACAAAAGGTAAAAAATTCCAAGATGGAATGTAAGCAGTTGTTAATACAGGTCAGGGAGGGGGAGAGTTCTCATGGAGCTAGCCAGCCCCATGGTTGTGTGAGTCTCTGTGACCACATGCTGGCTTCACATCCAAGTGTTGACCCCTTTGTGGAAGGGCAAGAGATTGGGAGCTTTCCTCACCTATGAGGACAGGGTGTTCCACAATGCAAGGGCAGCAGCAAAGAAGGCGCCCTAGACCCTGCCAGTGAAGATAAAACTTGTTGGCATCTGCTCAGATGTTGGAGATATGCAGTTTTCATTGATTCTTTGAAATAAAGCGAATTAAATTCTGCTTTCCCTTACACAATTCTAGACAATTTCCTGGTGGAGATTATTGGCAATCTTGCTATATAGATAGGCCTAAATTTAATAAGTGTTGAAATGAGGGCCGTCAAATTATCTTGAATGATGCCCACCTGAATATCTTTGAGTTCTGATTGAGTCATGGTGTGGTTTTCCTGCTTAGAGATTAATCATTTTTAAAAACCATTTTCCTCTCTGTTTAGGGGAAAAATAATATTTAGAGACATTTGTTTAGCTGGATCAATTGTTAAAGAGGTGATTGCCAGACCTTTGTGAACTAGGCAGCAGAGTTTGGGTGTAAACTCAGGAAGTTTTATTTGCCTACAAGATGGAATTTGCAAGATTCCTATTTTAAGTATGAAGCAGAAAATTAATTGTGGATACTGGTATACGTCTTATTTTGGCATGAAATTAATTTATATGAGTTTTATCCCTGGTCTTTATTGAAAACAGTGCCCTCTCATTGCAGTTCAATGAAAGCCTTTTAAAAACAATTGCTTGTTGTTTTCCTCATGACAAATTTATTTAATCAATAGATGGCAGGAAAGCTAAGGACAATGCTCCTCTAAGAGAAGTGTGTTTTCTTCAATTGTACTCTTTACTATGTTTATTTCTTATGAAGCGGGTAACAGTTTCTGAGCTCTGCTGGCTCAAATGAAAGGCTGAGTCTAAACCTGTATCATAAATCATAGTTTATGGTTTAGTGTAATCTGTTTTCTTCATTTGTTCACAGATATTTAGGCAAAGTTCCCTTTTTTAGGATTGAAAACTTTGTACTGAGATATTAGTTCCTTGCCTCATAACTGTGGAACATTTGGACCCAACTATTTCCTGCATTCATAAATCATCTTAAACATCAATATTGGCATTTGAGCATCTTTGGATTTTTGAATGTTCACCTTTGGATGGAAAAAATTATTTTCTTTTGCCTTTCTTCCATTGTTAGAAATCCCAGATTTCCTGAGTGAAGATGAATGTAAATTAATTATACATTTGGCTCAGCTGAAAGGTCTGCAGAAAAGCCAGATATTGCCCACGGAAGATTACGAAGAAGCTATGGAAATGATAGATATCAGCCAGATGGATATCTTTAATCTGCTAGATCACAACCAGGATGGGCAGTTGCAACTTAAGGAGGTATTCAGAATGGAATGATTGGCTATTAACTGGGAAATATCAACCTCACTCAGGTATAACCCTGGGTACAAGATCCTGGGGTATTGTATCTGAATTTACAAAATGAGTTAGTATTGGGTCTGAATGAAGTCATACTGTGCGAATATTGAGCATTTTGAAGTATGAGGCCTTAACTATCTTTCATTGTGTTTTAACATCCTGGTACAATTCTGCATGTCATGTCATTGACAAATCTATGAGGACAAATCTCCAAATAAAACAAATAATTAGAGGAAAATGTGTTCCTGTCTTAAAAAAAATTGTGGCCCTTTGAATATGCTGGGATCCAGCACAACCAGAAATATGGGTGCTTCATGGGTGATCTGTTAATACCATTTACCAATTAATTTTTGAATTAGTGGATTCTGCTAGTGCTTCTTGATTATATACGTAACTCACCTGTAACAGGAAGGTCTGTGTGCACTGTGTTCCAATTGCAGGTGCTGACACATACCCGCCTAGGAAATGGTAGGTGGATGACACCTGAGAGCATCCGGGAGATGTATGCCGCAGTCAAAGCAGATCCAGATGGCAATGGTAAAGATAGAACGGATGCTGCTTTTTAATGTACTATGTACCATTGTTCCCTTCCCTATTATTCTGTCATGTTAGATTGGAACAAATATAAAGATAGTCATATCACAGTTTAGTATTAAGATTAGGATCAAATGAAGAGTTAACCAAAACAGCCAAAGTTGTAACAATTAACAAGTATTTCAATAAATATGAAGCAACTTATATTTAATTTTATGGCCAATCGGATAGTGATAATCACCAACTTTATTTTTTAAACACTTTATTTTTTAAATCAAATGATATCTCTGGCTGTAGGTACTGATAGCTGTTTAAAAGCCAGCGAATAATAATTCTCTGTGATACTTTAATTTCAAGTTTTTGATTTGTACTTGCATTATCTTCTTTTAATTTCTGCTCTCCCACCCTCACAGCTTTTTGTTTGCTAAGACCATTCCTTTTATTAATTTTATTTAGATAAACATTCCTACTGTTTAATTCCTACTTTCCCCTCCATCTATGTTAGAGCTGCCCAGTTAAACTAAAAATCCCTCATTGGGATCACCAGAGGATGGTTGGTTTCTGTCATTCTGATGTGGCATACTTCCTGACAGCATGTTTAAACTGATCAGTCTCTAGCCTGACATGAGCATGTATGTTCTTTTCCTTCATTTTACTCAGGTGTTTTGACTTTGGAGGAATTTAAACAATTGAACATTCGAGACTTCCATAAATACATGGGTAGCCAAAAAGTGAAAATGAGCGATCTGGTGCGGAACAGCCAACATACATGGCTGTACCAAGGTGAGGGGGCACATCAGGTCATGCGCTCCATACGGCAAAGGTAAATTTATCTCACTCAGCAATTTTTACCAATTAGCCTTGCTGTTGGTTTGCTGATCAGTTTGGCCAAAATGTATAAACCAGTGCACTTAATGCAGCTACTTTAATTAGATGCCAAATGTATTATTGTAAAGCGCTAGAAATCTAAATGGCATGTTGGTTAGTGATATATAAAATGTGAGAAATTGTAATTGATGAAAACCTGAGGTAAGAGCATAGAGGGTAGACTTTCAAAAGGACAGTTTTTAATTAAATCTGGTTAGGAAAACTCTGATTAGAGTTTTCCTAATAGATATTGCTACTTTAAATGCCTTTCTCGATAATCATGTTGAATACAGTTATATAGGATGTGTATATTTCTCTTGATTGCATAGATAGTCAGTGAAATACACACACACACATACACACACACTCATACACATCTTCCTGTGTTTTGATAATTTTCTCTTTTCTTTTACATTTCCTTTATGTTTGTTTTGAATGTTTGAGTTTTTTTTTAAAAAAAATGAAAGCTTTGGAAAGAAAGAGTGACCCATACTTAATCAGAATAGAATAGAATAGAATTCTTTATTGGTCAAGTGTGATTGGACACACAAGGAATTTGTCTTTGGTGCATGTGCTCTCAGTGTACCTAAAAAGACAAGATACATTCGTCAAGAATCATAAGGTACAACACTTAATGATAGTCATAGGGTAGAAATAAGCAATCAGGAAACAATGAGAAGACTAATAGTAATAGTAATGCAGCCTTAGTGCATAGTTTTACAGTGTTGAGGGAGTTATTTGTTTAGCAGAGTGATGGCATTTGGGGGGAAATGTTCTTGTGTCTAGTTGTCTTGGTGTGCAGTGCTCTATAGCATCGTTGAAACAGGTGAAACAGAAAGAGATTGATTAGCATTTGCAGCTTTTTTTCTTAGTTTTATTAATTTTTGAATCAAATGAGTTTCAGATGATTTTTATATTTTTTATTTAAATCTAATATCTTTACATTACACCAGGTGTCTCAAACTCAAATGAATATTAGACCACGTAAAATGTGGAAAGTGGTGTGATGCATTTACCATCTGCAAAAATGCAACAAATATTAAATGTTAATGTTAATAAAATTATGACTAAATGAATGCAAAACTTACAATAATTTATAATAATATAAAATACTTCACTTTACTGACAGTTAATAAAAGCAAAAATATGTTTCCTACTCTAAATTGGTATTTTATTATTGATTGATTGATCAGATTTGTATAGCTGCTCATCTCATATATATTATATTTGTGGCTGTAATCTCCAACCTATCTATTATCCCGTATCACACTGTGTTGTTGTTCTGTGCACACCCTGTCACCATCTAGCATGATGACAAATGGTGATCCTTCTGCATCTGTTCAGGGCTATCATATAAAGTGCAGTGTACTTGAACAAGACAAGACAACAAGGCAGGACAGGCTCCAGCATTGCTTTAACCTTTTATCACAGACCACATAAAATAAGTCATCAGGGGCATTCAGCCTACAAGCCAATGTTTGAAATTCCTGGTCTATACTTTGCTCTTTCAAAGATACATGTAAAAAATGTTTAAAAACAAATTTACGTTGTAACACTCACTGATTCACATCTTCCCTGGGTTCCTGATTCCCCCCACCAGCATCAAATGCAAAAAGTGCAACAAAATCTTAAAATGCCAAGCAAGAAAGACCTGCATGTGTTTAGCATGATTTGCTCTTACTTAAAAATAACAATTGTGAGGTGAATTAGAATCACTTTGCCAGAAAATGTTCTTCCTATAGCTGTATTGCAGATCCTCTTTGTCTTACAACTCTTACGGAATGGCTAGAGGGTGTTAAGCATGTTTATGGAAAAGATTTTAGCGAGTATGTTTAGAATTGCAACATACATCACCCACTGTTATCTCCCCCCCCCCAATTCTTTCTGAATAGTTTTAAATGATTCCTTATTCCTTCATGAGTTTCTATGTTCCATTTGTGTCTTAAGATTTTTTGTACCCTCCTTTTTTTGTATGGGAATGGATACAGATGATCAAGGCCAGCATTGTGAATGGAGTGTTTTTTTAAACAGTAAAAACCTCCTTACAAATGTTCTAAGTAATCTTGATGGTCTGATACTGTCTGAGGAATCTCAGTGGCTTGATGGGAATGTTTATGGGAACCAGTTCACCCTTTCCTTCCATCAGCATGCCTCTCTGCTTGTCTGTCTTCAGGGTAATTAACTTAACCCATCTGCCGCCAGAGATTGTGGAGCAGAGTGAACCGATGCAGGTAGTACGCTATGACCAGGGAGGGCATTACCATGCTCATATGGATAGCGGACCAGTGTTTCCTGAAACTGCCTGTAGTCACACCAAACTGATTGCCAATGAAAGTGCTCCTTTTGAGACATCTTGCCGGTAAGCCTAGAAGCTGAGGACAGAATGGGTTTCCTGGTTATCTTATAATAGTGATCATCTGTTGCTTGTAGGATAGCAAGTATTGTTCTCTTTCTTACAGCTATGTGACAGTACTGTTCTACCTAAATAATGTGACGGGAGGAGGTGAAACCACTTTTCCTATTGCAGATAACAGAACTTACGAAGAATTGGTAGGTTTGTCTTTCCTGTGCAGTATGTACTGGCTGTGTCTATAAAATGTTAATTATTCATTTGGCTTATATCTCATATTTCTATTCAAGTTCTCAAAGAAAAAAACAACAGCAAAATCCAACATGCAGAATAAAAAACTCAAAACAGATGCTGATATTAATTAACCTCCAAGCCATTCTCTTTCTGTGTCAAACAGGTACAGAAAAGCCTCTTCTGTAAAACATAGAAGTCAGACAGATTGGTAATGGGAAAGGTGCTCCCTAGATAATCAAGCTCTAAGCACTTTAGTGCTTTAAAATAGCTATAAATGACACTTTGTCATTGCACATCTTTCAGTATAAGAATATCAGACTATTTTATAGCCAATGCAACTGACAGATGCTTTTCCAGGGTAACTCTTTGTAGAGAATATTGCAGAAGATAAGATAGCTCAAAGGTGCTAAGTCAGTTGCTGAAGAACAATAGCAGCTGGACCACTGCCGTAATTGTATAGATCCACTTCTCATCAGTTGGGGATGAGGAATCACTCCCGGGACAGACTTGTGCTTTCAAAGACAGTGCAATTGAGCAGCTTTATATAGATTGTAAGTGGCATGGAAACAAGATGGAACCCAGTCAGACAGCATAGATCAGCTGAAAGATCCATAGCACCAATTTTAGAACATGACCTAATAGGAAGGAATAGAACCACTGTAAAACTATGTCCTCAGTGTGTAATCCCATAGAAGAGTAACATGATTGCATTGAAAGCTGGTGCAATACTCAAGAAATGTCTATAGCGGGGGGGTGTCAAACTCATGTCATCACAGAATCATCACGTGACGTATCGCGACTCCCCCCCCCCTTTCACTAAACCAGGCGTGGGCATGGGGCCAGCATGTGACGCATCCGGCCTGTGGGCTGCAAGTTTGGCACCCTTGGTCTATATCCTCCCATCAAATTTCCAGAATGATCAAGTCAAGGAAGTTTTAGTATACCATATATCCCAGCCAGAAGCACAATTGAAATACAGTAGATAATATTTATTATTTGGATACATCTGAGTTATTTTTTCCAATCACCTTTCCTAGAAATGAAATGTTTTAAGATTCACATTCCCAGATTTAAAAAGGGTATTTCAGCCTCCTATTGCTTCTTCAGGCCAGAGGGAACATTTTACCCATAAGTCTTGTCCCAGAACAGTTTACAACAGACTAAAATCACACAAGAAATTATAAGAGCTCTAAACTAACCTTAATTTGCAATTCTAGTTGCAGGAATTCTCCACTGTATAGTGGAGGTGTTTACTCTGAATCACCATACAAAACAGAATGGTAGATATTAGCTGTTTAAATTTTATTTGGGAGTATTCTGCAGCAAGACGCTTAGCATACATTACTTGTAATAAGAAAAAAAGCTGCTGGCAAATAAATTAGGACCTTTTTTATTTAGTTTCTAATTAACCACTATGGACTTAATTAAAATATCATGTTCTGATTTCATAGATAGAGAGCTGTTTTAATGGGAGGTCTCTATATAAGGGGGAATGAATAATGGTAATTGAAGAGGTCCTTTTATCGTTCCCTAATGAACACCCGTTCTTCAGTCTCTAATCCAGAACGACGTTGATCTACGTGATACTCGAAAGCACTGTGATAAGGGAAATCTACGTGTAAAACCTCTGCAAGGCACTGCTGTTTTCTGGTATAATTACCTGCCCGATGGGGAAGGTAAGTTTCTTCCTGAGGCAACCAGATAACCATCTTTCTATTTTTATTCATTTTATTTATTAGAGTTTTATCCCACTCATCTCCCCTTCAAGGTGACACGGAGTGGCTTTTATTTATCCTCCATTGGCTATTTTGGAAAGCGTAGAGCTGCAGAAAAGATTGAGCAGCATTTGTATGAAGCTGATCCCTGGAACCTTGTTTCTTTCCAGGCTGGGTTGGTGATGTCGATGAATACTCTTTACATGGAGGCTGTTTGGTGACTGAAGGAACCAAGTGGATCGCCAACAATTGGATTAATGTTGATCCCAATAAGAGGCGACAGCTCCAGTTCCAGGAGGAAATGGCTCGATACACCAACAGTGAAAACGAGGACCAAAGCGAATGGACTGTGGACAAATCCTACAGCAATGTCCATGTAGAGCTGTAATGTTTGGAGATGCCTCTTGGTTGACTTGAAAGCACCTTTTTTGCACTAGCCATTTTCAGCTCTTCTATTCTCCCACATTTCCCAATTATTGTGTTTCTTCAGAGAATGTAGGGTTGCCTATCTAGGTAGATTGGAGAAAGGAGAAGCAGGGCACCTAATGCAATCTGAGGGGAAAAGGACTATTTGGAAAGAAGGGACAGTAGCTGAGGGCATATTTTGATTTAATGGATGGCTTTGCTTAAGGAGATTTTGAGTCTGTCCGTGAATCTCCCGTGACATATGCAATCCACCTTTCAGGTTCCTTATCATCCTGGTTTGTTCTGCTGGATGCAGTTTTCCTTTAGCTGGCTTTGTAACTATAATCTTGTAATCTGCCCTTCTTTCCATCTCTCAGTTTCTCGGACTTTTCAGGCAACTGATACAGCTTACATAAGGCTAGTAAAACCCACATCAACAAAGCGATTGCTGCATATTCTAGGTTGCTCTGTAGAGAGTAAAAGGGCTACTCTTAGCCTGCATTGGGAACACATCAGTAAAATGGTATAGAGGTTAAGATGCTGGATGAAGACCAAGGAAACCCATGGTTCAGGTTCACCCTCTGCCTTGGAAGCTGATTGGGTGATTTTGGCATCAATTTCTCTCAGCCCAACCCCCCCTCTATGAGTGGCTGTTGTGGGGATAAAATGAAGAGAGATCTGACTTGGGTTTTTGTGCAAGTGGGGGGGAATCATTCTAACCAGTACCATTTGACAGCACAAAGTATATGTATTAAGAAGTAAGCAAACGCCCAAGTGCAGGTGTAGACGATTGCAGGCTTCAATCCAGAGTTATGCAAAGGGGTCATGGGCATGTTTCTGTGAAAAAGAGCATGCAGGCCTAAAAGTACTAGAGGCCTTCCATGGGACGGTGGATGCTGATCATGGTAATTTTTCTCAGGGTTGGACATAGTTCTGAATTACTATTCGGAAATATTTATACCAATAATTTTCAGGGAAGTAATGGAACAGTTAATATGTGCAATTGGAACGTGTGTTGTATGTGCTGCAGTTGTGATTTCAGCCATTTGTGTGTTTGAGAAATTGTTTACCTACGAGAAACCTTTTGTTCTGTTTAGGTTTTTTTTATTGGAGCCAGTGGCATAATAATATTCCTCCTAGAAGATAAATACGTATTTAGATATGCAGTGTGGAACCAGCAAGGTTCTCAGTTATTTTTAAAAAGGTGTTCTGCAGGATTAGGCTTAAGGTGTGCGCAGATCATATAGTTTAGGCCTAATTATATTGTTTCTCGTGAAATGAATAGCACTTTCCCACTCTTCCTCTGAAGTCAGTGAGATACTGTCTCTGAATGAGGGGCTAGATATAGCAGTCAAGGGTAAGAGCATCTGGTAGTAGACCACTCCGAAATGAATTTAGCTCCTTTTTAAATCTGTCCAATAAGCAGTCTTGCTAAGCAACATTTTGGACTGTGAACCACATTGTCTGGAACATACTTCCTAATTTTTTTTCTGACAAAGAGCCTTCAAATAAAATACAGGCAGTCCTCGTTTAGCAACTGTCTCTTTTAGCAATCGTTTGATTGAAAAAGTAACAATTAATCCTCTCATTTACAACCTTTGAGGGTCGGTGAAGCAATGGGAAGCTGAAGTAAAAATCATGCGAACGATTGATGTTTCACTTAGTGACCGCTTTGCTTAACCGTTAAATTGCTGGTCCAATTCAGATGGCTAAACAAGGACTCCCTGTAAGCTTCTGTCGTAACAAAGGTTCTTTGGACTTCTTTTCACTTGATGGCCTTTTATGCACTTTTCCTAACTTTAAAATAAATTGGGGTGGAAGGTGGGGTAAGACTAAGTAAAAGGAATTTCCTTTGTCTCAGTAGAGCTGCCATTCCCCACTTCCTCATTTATTGCCTGCAGTACAGGTAGTCCTCGACTTGCACCACCATTGAGCACAACATTTCTGTTGTGAGACATTTGTTAAGTCAGATTTGCCCCCATTTTACGACCTTTCTTGCCACAGTTAAGTGAATCACTGCAATTATTACGTTAGCAACAGTTGTTCAGTGACTCTGACTTCCCCATTGGCTTTGCTTATGAGAAGGTTGTAGGTGATCACATGATCCCAGGACACTACAACCGTCATAAATATGAGTCGGTTGCCATGCATCTGAATTTTGAACACATGATCATGGAGATGCTGCAACGGTTGTGAGTGTGAAAAATGGTCATAAGTCACTTTTTTCAGTGCCGTTGTAACTTTGAATAGTCACTAAATGAACTGTTGTAAGTTGAGGACTATCTGTACTGATACTTAAGTGTCAGTAATAAAAAGAAATGCCATTAGACCAAGAGAAGGTGGAATTTCCATTGTATTGCACCATAGGAGAGTACTGGTTCTTGGCAAATATTCTCATTTTTTTTTTTGTACAAAGGCTGGAATTAATTTCCTTTCTTTCTTTTTTCCCTCTTATTCATCAGAGAGACTGAAAAAGGATTTCCAGTTACAGAATTCTTAAAGAAATTTGGACATCTTGAGTTGAATCTAACTGCAGGTTTTGGTAATAGATGTGATTAGTAGTTTGCTGCAGAGAACAAGAGTGCTTTAGCTTTGGGCTAGTAGCTCACATTTAAATCACAGTGAGCAGATTCATCTCTTGTCCAGTTCAATAGAGCAATGGTTGGTTTTGATTGGAGAAAACTAATATTGTAATGGGCCTTCTAGACGGCTGAGAAAACATGTTTCCCATCTCCTGTTACATTTTGACAAAACTTCTATTTGGTGACTAGAGGAACATATTTTAAGGCTCAGTCTGGTGGCTGCTATTTTGCCCTGGTGCCTCCTCCGTTGCAATATGAACAGCATTAAGTGGTAGGACATTTGCGTGCTTCAAGACTTGCCCTTCCTACCTATAGCCTCATTGAGCTGAGGTAATCCATTGTTATTGTGATTGTTGCATATGAAATCAGTTTGTTTCTTCCAGTGAATTTCATTCCAAGCAATTAGAAGTAACCACTTTTTTTATTTATTGGAACTCTTCAGTGTTGCCTTAGAGAGTTGCATAGAATGTTGTCTCCTAAGCCAAAAATAGCTCACCCACCATGTTATGTAATTTGGCAGATGTTTGACAGCACTTTAGCTAGTCGATTTTTGTAGTCCCAGGCAGACAAAAACTAAATCCTGGGGGCTTATGTGTCACTTGGTGGAAAACTAGTTATGTAACTCTCCTGTTCTGTTAGTGTGTTTATGATCAGGTGAACAAGTTGCAGAATTTCCCCAGATGATATCCGAAGGATCAATTTAAAAAGCAGTGAAAAATTCGCTCCAATCCTCAGTAGTGTACTCTCAAATGAAATGGATTTCAGTGCAAATTATTTCCATGAAAAATATTTACGATGGCAGCTTTATTATAATTCTGTTGCAATTTTTTCATTTGGAAAAAAAATTAGCTTAGTAACTTGTACCCTGAAACTTCTTGGGTTTTTAGATGTGGCCTTGATTCAAGAAGTGTCACTGAACAGATAGTTCAATGTCATTTAAACATTTTATTGATTCCTTTTTAAGGCCCGTTTAATGACATCAACCTAGCATTCATTCATGGGTCCGAATTTCACAACATATTTCTGAAATGCAAATAGGTGGAATGCAAAATGGACACCACCAGACTTCCCATTTTGCTTTTCATATGTAGTCTTTGGAATCTAATGTCATATATGAGAGTTTTGAGAGGGACTGTACCTCTGCCTTGGGCTGTTTTCAATTGGCAGAGGATATCCCAGAAAAAAATGTAGATACGTTGTTAAGATTTTAAGGAGCCATCAGTAAGGTTGACTATGATGGCGCTTTGTGATTGCAGCCTACAAAAACAAATACTCCTGCCAGAAATGTGTGAATGCTTTAAACAGCTGCATGGCTTGAGAATAGCCTGGTTCTCCAGCTTTCAGGAATGTACAGGGTTTGTTGGGGCTCAACCACATGCAGTGAAGTGAGTGGCATTACGACACTGGCTTGTGTTGTTTTTTTTATTATTATCCAAAGGGTTGTCTAGTATCCATAGAAAGACTTGAACGTCTTAGTAATTATATTTAGTTTTTGAGTGATGTGGCTTTGCCAGTTCCATATTTGTAGGTAACTGGTGAATACTGAGTCTTTTATTTTTATTTGTGTGTGTTCTCTACAATTCTGCGTTTTGGATACTTTTTTTCCTTATTTAATATTTATTTAATTTATTGTGTCCCATGCACTGATGTCAGGCTGTCAGTCCTGCAAATAAATATTTGAAACCCATGTTCTTTGGATGTTCTATTTTTAATCATATGCGTAACAGTCTCCACATCTCTAAAATATTTTATTCTCTAAAGAGAATCAATAAAATAGCCCTATTAATGTGGACATTCCTCAACTTATAAGCAGTTTCTCCTATCTGGTGCAATGATTCTGTTTTCTAAATTTCTCTATAATACTAACATTTATCATCACAATTTATCTTTAAAATTAGCAGTCACACCTGCTTTTTTTATTTGATGGACACATATACAGAGATAATGCTACAGGAGAAAATCAACGTAATGCAGTATCTAAAATGAATGTAGAGATCATCTTATGCTGAGGGAAATAAAAGGAAAGTAATGGCATAGAGATTATTAATCTGTTAACAAAAATAAATGGAAAATAATAAGAAAATAGTTGATTGTTAGTCAAATTAATCTTTTTTAAACTAAATACATTGGAATCCTGTTCACACACAAAAAGGTTTTATACTATAAAAATTACCACTTTAATTTCCTGTTTCAAAAGTTTTTAAAATCTACATATTGTCATTATAGAACAATTAAGGTCAAGAAAATGGTAGTATTTTTACAACCTTCAGTTTCCATAACAATAAAAATCCTTAATCAAGAAGTAGTTTTAAATCTCTAGATAAAATGAATATTGTTAAAATTAACAATGGGCCTTGGTGGCACAGTGGTTAGAGTGCAGTATTGCAGGCTGATTTTGCTGACTGCCAGGAGTTCCATCAAGGTTGAATCAGCCTTCCATCCTTCTGAGGTGTGTAAAATGAGGACCCAGATTGTTGGGGTCAATATGCTTACTCTGTAAACTGCTTAGGGTTATTTATTTTATAACTTAACTTATAAGTTAACAGCTACAATTCTATATATACTTACCTAATGCAAATATTATTTGTATGTTTGTGTGTGTATAATTTCTAACACATAATTATTCTTTTTCACCTTATTTATTCTGCATAAAAGTCTAATAAGGTTTGAAAAGAGAGTAGTGGATTCTATAAATATAACTGAAAAAGCTAACATTTTCAGATAATAATATTCTCTTGAATAACATGGAATTTGAGAACTGGACAACGTAATTTGCTTGTAAAAAAAATCTCCATACACTTCGTATGGCCAAAAGACTGATATTGAAGAATTGGAAGATAAATGTATGGCCACGTTTACTCGATTCACTTGCCCCTATGAGCGGACTGCCTATAATCTTAGAAATCCACACATCTAAAAGTCGCCAAGTTTGAGAAACATTGCAAAGGATTCCGAATTCCTGCTCTCTTTCTAGCTTTGCATCGAATCTCACAAAAGATCGCTTTTTCTCTTTGCTCCGGGCGAATCATATGAAAGCTGTTACGGGCTTCAGAGAGACAGACCTATGCTGTGATGTTGCCGTAAAGTTGCACTTGCTCTTCCCTCGTGTCCCTTTTCAGCTCACGCTCTCTCCGATTCCGAGATCCGGCTGTTTCGTTCCGTTCCGGAATACTTTCCTGGGGCCGCCAATCCCAGGTTTCAATGGGCAGAGATATTCGGCTCGCTGTACCTTTAAGAAAACGTTCCTTCCCTTTCGCTACAATCGAATCTCTCCCAGATGAGAGAGCCGCCTTAGCAACCGCTATCCAATGGCGTCTCTCGGCGAAAGGGAAGCGGGAACGAGCCCCCCGAGGCATACCCAATCGGCGGCGGCGCGTGTAGGAGAGGTAAGAATTCTGAAGACTTCTTAACTCGCGAGATTGTTGCGCCAGGGTTCTGCCGCTTTGCTTTCTTTTTTCCTCCGCTGTTTTGTACCTTTGCTCTGATTGCCGGGCGAAATGCAAAAGGGTCCCGCACGTTCCGGTTTTACATTTGATGGCCTCAGCCTGGCCTGCCTGCTTCCTGGTTATATAGGCGCCTCTTTGGGCTTCCTGCTCTGTAAATACCAGAACGTGGAGAAATGTGTGAAATGAAAAATATGGTATTTACAGCATTTTACAGCAGAAATTAATTCGGATTCCATCCTCCTTAGTTAGCAGAGCCAGAACTTGGGGATAAACCAGATTGTGGGAAGGCGCGGGCTTCTGATGTCTGCATTAGAGTGTCTTGCAATTCTTGATTAAATCCCATCGCTGAGAGTTCTCAGCTCTCAGCGATCCCGAAA